GGGAGACATGCCTCCCGGATCGTCCACTATACTGCGCATCGTATGACTTCAACCAATGAGCTTAGGCACCAATTTGCGTCACACTAATAGCGGGACGTTTAAATGCAGGCCAGACATCAAAATCATCACGTTACAGGTTACAGATAAGTGAAGCATATCTTTTAACCCATTAAGTCCCATTGTTCCCTTTTGGGAGCCCGCAGATTTCTCTTTCTTGGAAGCATTCTTTCTTCCTGCAGATAATGAAACGATTGTCAGGGAAGAAATAGAAGACTGCTCAACCTCAGAAATATTCAATCCGCTACTTTTGCTGTGTGCCTATTGTGAGAGGAGTTAGCATATCCAGTATTTTCAAGAAGTCGTTCCGAGGCAATAATATAGTTTTTCGTTCAGACATTGTTATTTTCTACGGAAATCTGTACATCCAGGAAAGTAAAGGAAACATTGAACAATAATTTTACGGTTATAAACAATCATAACTTCCGCTTATGAAGAGCGTGAGAAAGCTTATTTTACGATGTTTCCAATTGGGAAGATATGGTGTATTTTTGACAAACGAATACTTTGTTTGGGGCATTACTTTTTTATTGTCTTGTTGCATTTTCTTATTGCTAATATACTTTCTGATTTTATTATTTTATATACATAAAACGTCTTTCAAGAAATATTTAGGAATTGAGGAAATTCCTGATGTTGAAGAAATGACAGATGACGAGGTAGATCTCGTTATTCTGCCTTCCACTGGGGGTGACGGGGAGCTTACCGATGACGTAAGTGTCGATAAAACTGAAGAACAAGAAATTCCTTGCAAAAACTAAAACTAAGTAATAATACGGCTAAAAGAGAAATTATATTGAGAAAAACAGAAACTTTCACTAATGTTCTTCCTAATAATAAACCATTTTAGTTGGAACAGTTCTTTCACACCCTTGTGACCTTCAGCCGTGCGAGCTGTTTCGCCAATTTTTCACAAATTAAATTTTGGATTTGTTTGTGTGAAACGAAGCGTTACGCTGCTCCGAAGAATGATCTGGATTTTGAAAGTGATGGAGACATTTTAAGAATTTTTGCAATTTTTTTTTTTTTTTTTTTTTTTGACAGGCTACTAGTCTTCCAAAAGAAAAACTTTATTGGTCAAAAGCTGAAGATGTGGCATTGCCATTAGTTTCAAAGCAAATGATTAGAAACAAATTTTAACAGAAAGAAATATTTGCATGTTTCCGATAACAATAATTTGATTTTGGGGGATAAAATGGTCCCCTTATTGATAAAGTAAACTTATCACAGCAGCAATTTGGCATATTTGCAAAAGAAGTCAGTATTGATGAGCAGATGGTCCTTAATTTTGTGAGACCCAAATGCAAAATGTTCTTGCATGGAAAACACGTTAGATTTGGGTTCAAACTGTGGGTGCTGTGTTCTTCTGGATTCCCCTTCAAAATAGATCCATACTGTGGAAAGAATCAACAAGAACGATGGGCTAAACCGCTGGGCAGTGGAGTAGTAGTGAATTTGCTAGAAAATGTGGAAATCCCTCAAGCCATATTGTTTTTATGGACAATTTCTTTACGTCCTATAATTTTTTGGCTGAACTGAGAAACCGCGGGTTTCGAGCTACTGGAACTGAGAGAGAAGTGTGCCTAAAGAAATGTACATTGGATGAAATGAAAAATGCAGATAAACTAGAGGCACGTACAATTTCAAGAGTGATGGAGAAATTTTGGCTGTCAAGTGGAAAGACAACAAAGTAGTGTGCTTTGCTTCAAATTATAATGTTGTTCACCCTCTACAACAAGCGAAGCGGTACAGTGAAAGCCAAAAAAGACATGTGCAAATACCATAGCCTGCTCTAATTTTAAACTACAATGTGCGTATGGGGGGAATAGATATTTTGGAATAGTTTTATTTATTCCAGTAGAGACCAGATATAAGATCAAAACAATGGTACTGGCCTATTCTTTTGGATTGTATAAATATTCTAAGAGTTGCTGCATGGAGAATGCATTGTATTATTTCTCCATATGACAAGCTGGACCAGCTAAAATTGACAAGACAAATTGTTTCTAGAATGATGGTGTCATACCCCTCAACACCAAGATCAGGACCCCGTGAAACCATTACATTCCAAGCCAGGACTAGAGCAGGTCATCTCCTCATTCCTGCAGAGGCAAGGTCTTTGCAAAGTTTGCAAGAAGAACATCAGACTTATTTGTGTAATTTGTAAGCACTTGGTTCCCACGCACTGTGTAGCAAGTAGACCCTCTCTCTTCAAATCGATCCCGTTTGGAAACACGTAAAATTAAAGAAAATATTGTTTGAGCATGTGTTATAAGTATTCTAATTAGTTAGAAAAATAAAGATAATACAAACATTTTAGGTTTTAGTGGTGTTGGAACTTAATAGGTTAAATATTTCCTTGTATACACCTTCATTGTGTTGTATTTGGTTGGTCACCATTGAAAATTGCTACTTTATGCTACTTTCAAAATGTTTCTTAATACTTCTGTCTCTCCACGCAACATGGCGGGCAACGATTGGTCTGACTGTTCTAACAAAGTGCCTGTGTTGTAGTCATATGATTCGTAACGCAAACTGGTGCTGTGCAGAATGAGCAAAAATCATTGAGCCAGAATAATCCACTCATAACTTTCCACTAGTGCTGGGGCTAGACAATTTTATGAGCCCGGTGCAATGCTGAAAGATAGCCCCCCCCATAAAAATGTGAAAGTTGTATCAAGAAACTACACAAGTTATTTTATTACAACAAATAACAAAAATTGTAAAGTTTAATTTCTTCAATACATAAAAAGTGAGCAAAAAATAATGTGGTACTAATGTTTTTAAGGAATAATATCAAGTTTTATAACCCTCTCAAAATTTTCCCTGGTGTTTAACAATTCTTCCAGAAATTCCCTGATTTTTTCGAATTTTCCAGAAAGTGGCCTGCCTGCTCCCTGTTATTATTGTACAGGGTAATACAGTTTTGGCAACTGAACAATATAAATGGTATCCAGTTAAACATTGTTATAAAGTTGCGGTGAGCACAAAATTAACAGAATTGTCTTGTTGAAATGAGTGAACAATGAAATAAGATTGTAAATAGCAAAGAAAAATAAACTATGGGATTAACGGACCAATAGGCATTTTTAAGTACTAAAAATGGAGTTCCAATAATATCTTTAAGTGATGGAAAGAGTTTACAATTAATTTAAAGTGCAAGACAAAACAGTTTAAAGTCAATTGCTGAAAAATTAGATGTCAGTTATGATTTTCCACTTAAATATACATACCAGCATTGGTAACTGCACGCATAAAGACACACCCAACAGACGAGCACTCAATAATATGATCACGGATGATTGTGTGTGCACACATGCAAGTGTGTGAAGTTTACATCCATTCCTACTCCCAAGATGTGCGCTGGCATAGAAGAGGCCAACAAAACATCCGATACAGAACTAGACAAGGATGACGGAGAATACGATAATAAGGTAAAGGAATGCTTAAAATCAAACTCCAGTAATAACATACATATGGTTTTGATAAAACAAAGTACACCTGTTTGATAAACATTTTTATGGAAGTGAACTCAAACAGTTTAGTTGACAATCACATTTAATTAGAAAAATAGTCAAGAGTACAAAAAATAATTCCAGACAGAAAAAAATTCCTTGAGCAAATATGTAACATACAAAATTCAATATTTTGTTCCAATCATACAAATTTTCTAGCAATCTGGTACTTGTACAATATTATTATTATTATCAAGTGAATTGATGATATGTTTTAGAGGAGCAAAGCACTGCAGGGCTGAAACATCACCAATTATAATAAGTTTAAATCTGGCCCTTGTAATAGCAACAGTCAATCTTCTCTCATCATTTAAAATACAGGAATCCTGCAAAACACAGAATAATGAGCACAAATATTTCCAACCAAACTTCAAATACTTTTTTATATAGAATAGATCATGAGATGTCCATTTAAAATGAGACAAATTAATTATTTTTCAACTTATTATTTATACATGATATTTTTAATCTATTACAATTTAAGAACCAATTCATAGTCATGTTGTCAACTACTATTCACAGAACATGACATAAGATGACGTAAGAGGCTACTATTTTCCTGCAACATATTGTATTTATTTCTGGTTAGGAGGGTAAGAAACTCTTAATTCACTGACTTTTAATTGATTTAAATAGAATAACATACATATTTCCCATTGTCAACAATCCCCCCCCCTCTTAAGGGGTGGAAAAATGATTTCTTTTTAACAATTTATTTTTCCTTAATTCTGAATGAACATATTATTTCATTTAAAAAAAAAATCCAGATAAATGGTTTTAATTTATATAACAAATATTTTGTTTACTCTTGATACTTGTTTTAAGTGTTTTGAAAAAGTTACAAATTTTTTTTTTTTCCCTTTATAATAAAGCTGTTGTAAAACTTTATTACATCTATTCACCTATATCCTGTTTCTTTACATGTTAAAATTGGATTAAACAGTTTATTATTACACCTGATGTAATAAAAGGTACTGCCCAAGTCAATATAATATCATGAATCAAATAGACTCACAGGTAGAAAATATGAGAGCAGTTTGTATTTTCTTTGACCAGTGATCAAGCCTTTAAACTAGGCAAGGCAAGTAGGAGGATTTGGGATGTGCAGTGTGCGATAGCGCATCTTTATTAACTTACCCTCTGCTAATACAAATGGCATATTGACCATTTGAGCTGAAATGCAGTCTGATACAAAGCTTGGTACAAGCTGTATAGTTAGTGATGGTAAAATTTAGCACATTCAATTTTAAACATTTGTTATTTGAAAACGCTATAGCATTTTATAGCGTTATAAATATTAAAATCTAGCATTTTATAGCAGATGTTGAAAAAATTATTGTTAAGGGAGGACTCTTTTGAGATGAAAAAATTATTTTGATGCTTTTTTTGTTACACCCATTAAAATAGGGAAATTAATTCGTCATTTGTGAACTTGAATGAAAATAAAAGCTCAAGAAGTTATGTGTGCACTCTAGGCCACCCTCTTCTTCCCATGACCTTCTCCGTACAGAGAACAGAGGAAGCTTTGAGATGACCCTGAGTGCTCAGACTTTCAGAATAAGTATGTTAATTGTTGTTATTATTTTTTTACTTTGTTTTGTCAGTTAAATCTTAATTATAAATTAATAAAAACAGACACTTTCCAATTAAATGTTTTTAAACATCGATGAGTAGTTGTCAGTGTCGTATCTCTAGTTAGAAAACAAACACGAAACAAACCTTAAAATGCAATTTAGCAATTACACCGCAGATTCACAACTATTTCGCACCTTGTACGTGATTTCTAATCTTACAATCGATTTTGCATATTATCGCAGATTGGAAACTTTGATAAATATACTGTACTGACCGTCATTTATATAGTTACTAATTTTTTCAGCATTTGGTAACATTTCGCAGTTTCATCAATTGCCAAACTCTACCCTCCCCATGCACAGTGCACAGGGCTGCTCACTTTCTTCAAGAAAAGGGAACATCGCAGCACAAATTCACAAAAGAAAGAGCCGAGCACACAATGAAATTTTCAACCAAATGAGAAACGCTGACTTCTAGAGATGTCCTCATTCATGACAACGCCAACCCCCACAGTGCTGCTGTAACCAATCTACATCTCAGGCAGATGGATTGCGCTTCATCACGGCAGCAATGTTTAATGAAGACGGAATCAAAAAGCTTCTTCACAGATACAACAAATGCCTGAATTTCCATGGTGATTTTATTGAAAAGTAAACACGTTTGTTCAACTTTTATAATCATTTTTTTCCTTTACACCTTTCTCTTTGTAATAGCCCATTGGAGATTTTGTTTAAAAAAAAAGAGCCTAATATGTCAAAATGTTAAAAAGGTTTATAAATAGGTATTAATTAGTATTATCATAGCCTAAACATTTTTGAGAATATTCATAAATTATTATATTGATTCGCAGGGTACTTCAAAACTTACTGCATTTGATGTATTATTTGAACTCCAATTGTTTGTACATGAAAATATCACAATATCTTTGTCTCGACCCTGATACTGATCAACTGTGTTTGTTTCAATTCCTGGAATATCTTGCATTATGGAAATGATGTATTTCACCTGGTTCCGATATGGTGCCATCACACCAATGGTAGTGGAATCAACATCAGCCTAAAGATCAGAAGAAAATTAATTGAATTTTTTAAGAATTAAACTACATACGGAAATCTATTGGTATCTAGTCAATCAAGTTTTGTTACATAGATAAGACTACCACAACACAGTAATGTATAGCAAATTGAAATGTTTATTGGTCAGAAGTTTCACAACCCCTTGTTACAGTCTTATTGATTGATTATTTGTTTTTCCTCTTGGAGGGAAGTAGGACTGGTTGGAGGTGAAGGCAAGGTCCCTAAAGAATAGAACACGACTCTCTGCACGAACTGCCACAGAAACATTCAATATGATCAAAAAGGATTATGGGGATGCTCCCATGAGCCACTCAGGTTTATAAGAGACAATTCGTTCAGGGAGGGGAAGGAAGATCGTGACGCTCGAGGAATGACCAACACGCCCCTTCGCCCCTCAACATCAAGGGACGATGAAAATGTGACAAAAGGGAAACAATTTCTGGACTCTGATCCCTTCTGGTATTTATCACCGTGACGTCATCCACAAGGAGTTTTTACCCCCTGGGCAAACCGTGAATGCACAGTTTTATGAGGAAATGCTCAATCGGTCGCGGAGATGTACTGCGCAAGAGTTAAAATAGGACTCTACCTGTGTGCCGGTTGGCCGGGTGGTCCGCCAATGCGGAGAGAGTGCACTTCCGCGCATTCCCTGAGGAAGGTCGCGGAACGGCGATCGAAACGTCGGTACCTTTGCCATGGACGCGGTGTCACCCGGACAGCCACTTAAATACTGACTCCGGCCGCGGAAGCATACGCTCTCACTTGATCAACCTCTACGGGGAGGAACTATTGAAACTCACTCGCGAGTTCTCCACACTGCGAGACAAACGGAAACGAAAGCTGAGTCAGCTCGCTTTCCTCCAACGGGGCAGAGATGACGTTCTGCCGACCTTTCTCGAAATCCGTCACAAGACTCAGACCCAGGCAGCATTACGGATTCTTCGTAGAACGGGTTTCGCTCTCCTAAGCGAGAGGATCCGCCATAATAGGACGCAACTCTCCAACATCGAACGTAGGTTGCTTAATATTCATTTAATGCTTGCATGCTGTCTTAATGCAGCTGATTGGATCACACTCGATACAGTTTCGGCGGAAGCCGCGGAAAGTGTACTTGATAAATCTAGATGTATGCAAATTTATAAATTTGACAAACTGAAGGCCAAACAACATCCTGAGACCTGTAGGGTTGGCTTGCCGAGTCAGTCGCCAACCTAACTGATGAACAGTTGAACGAAGCTACTGTGTCTGTATTGAGCAAAGGTCTCAATTTCGGCCCCGTGCCCGATCGCGTTCCTACCGCGGATATCGTGGCAGGGGTGGAAAATGCGGTCACGAAACTGCCTGCCAACCAGGCTGACTACATACGCAGAGAATCGGCACGTTTTCTGGCCCTTTCTAAATTGCCACGTGATGAACGTGTAGCGTTGCGCTAGCTACGTAAGCGCGAGGACCTCGTCGTAGTACCCGCAGACAAAGGCAATGCCACGGCGGTCATGAAAACCATAGACTAAAGTTAAGGCGTTGCTGACAGATCAGGCCTATACTATCCTTCAAAGCTGCCCCGTACGAAAGCTGAGGGGGAGAGGTCGCGGCACGGATAAATAACTCGGCTGATATAGAGCCGGAGGCCAAACCTAAGCTAAAACTTGGCAACCACAGAACAGAACAGAATCTAGGGTGTATTTTTGTGGTCCGCCTGTCTCTAATGAGACTCTTCGGTCATATTTCTTATGTCGAGTTGTCTTCTGGTGTGTTGCGACCCCTCTCCCCTGTACAGAGACGGGGATTGGGAGTCTGGGTAGTGAAGCGACGGGTAGTTTTGTCAGGGGGCTTGAGGGTGGGGGAAAGGGAGAGGAATGGTTTTAAGAGGGGAATGGGATGGGATAAGGAATATTTAATGTTCGTCTTGGGTTCAAAGTGAGTCAGTAGTGAGTGTTGTTTAAGTCGTCTTTGTCGTTTCATCTTGTTTTCACCCTTTGGCCTAGGTTATGGGAGGAGGGAGTTGCAGGATTTCAAGGAGGTGTTTTTTCCCAATGTGCCGGGGGATTCTTCTAAGGATATGGTGGTGGGGTAGGATAAGGTTTCTGAATCGAGGATTGGTGATGAACTTTTGTAGGGTTTGTACGGAGGAATTGTAAAGGTGGGTAAGGATATGGGGCATTTTGTATTGTTGTCGTAGGTTTTATAAAGTGGGTTTAACGGAGGGGGACGGAAGATCAGTCGGATTACTCTGTTTTCAGTGACGGCTAGTTTCCTGTAGTTTATAATGGATGTATTAAACCATGTGGGATGGGCGTAAGAAAGGGTTGGGCGGATATAGGTATTGTAGGTTTGGATTTTATTTTTGGATGGGGATGACGGATTAGTCAGGATAGGGTAAAGGGCGTTTGTGACCCGGTTGGTTTTTATTGTGGTGTTGAGGACGTGTTGGGACCAAAGGAGTCTACGGGAGATGGTAATGCCAAGATATTTGACATGGGGTTGCCAGGGGATAGGCGTTTGATTTATTGTCAGAGGGGATGGGTTTGATATGTTTTATAGGAAGAGAGGATGTCTTGGGATTTGGAAGTGTTGATGTTGATGGCATTTTGGGAAGCCCAGGGGTGGAAGGAGCCGAGGGGTTTTTGAAGGTTTAGTAAAGAGCGGGTGAGGTTGAGGAAGGAAGCAAGGAATGCAAGATCATCAGCGTGAGTGAGGTGAGGTAGCTTTGGAGTAGAGAGTGGATGTGGTCAGGGATGTGGGAGCGGATTTTTGCTAGGGGCATTGGGTGGGATATGGTGTCATAAGCCTGTGTAAGATCTGTGGAAACTGGTAACCACGGTTTCCATAGGTTTTATGGTCTCCCTAAGATACATAAGCCCGACGTGCCACTGCGTCCAATTGTGAGCGCTATTAACTCTCCCACCCACCCTTCTGCCCGCGATGTGGCCGACAAACTGTAGCCCTGTAGCCTCAGGAATTCGGCCTACCTTATTGACATTCTTAAGGAGCATGGCGTAAATGTCTCGGATATCCTCGTCAGCTTTGATGTCACGTCTTTGTTCACAATGGTTCCGGTGGACGAGGCGGCCACTGTCATACGCAGGGAACTTTGCTCCCTTGGGCTCACTTTGGAATAGGCCGACTTAGCTGAGTTCTGTCTCACACCCACTTTCTTCCAGTACCGTGAGCAATTATATGCTCAAGTTGAAGGAGCGGCCGTGGGTTCCCCTCTCTCTCCGGTTGTGGCTAACCTTTTCATGGCGGCCTTCGAAACGGAAGCACTGGAGAATGCCCCACTAAAACCAACTGTATGGCTCCGGTACGTTCGCGATACACTAGTAGTGTGGCCCCACGATCCTCACACCTTATCTGACTTCCTCCAGCACCTTCACAACACATACACCCTAAGATTAAGTTCTCGATGGAGGTGGTAAACGAGGGGAAATTGCCTTTCCTCGACGTGCTGGTGAGTAGCAAAGCGAACGGCAGACTAGAACACAGTGTTTACCGGAAACCTACTCACACAAACCGCCTGCTCTCACCATCACCCGGCAACTAATCTGGGGGTTTTGAAAACTTTGGCCATCAGAGGAACTAGAGTGTGTGATAAAGAATCGTTGAACTCCGAAATGGAGCTCCTAAACATCACATTTCGAGCCAACGGATACAGCGCAAACGCTGCCAACCAAGCAGTACGGGAGGCTACCTCTTCCAACACTGCTGATATCACCACACCTTGTGACGATACCAACCATAAAATAGCCACTCTACAGTGTATACTAGGTGTCACGGATAAGATTGGCAAGCTTTTGAGCCGCTACGACATAAAGACGGCCTACAAAGCCCAGGAAAAACTCAGGCAAAAGCTTGTATGCGTGAAAGATCGCGTCCCTCCCCGTATGTCATCAGGGGTACACGAGATTTCATGCAGCTGCGGCCATTGTTACATTGGCGAGACGGGATGTACCGTAGAGGAACGCCTCGGGGAACATATTCGTCATTATAAATACAATACGAATGAATCGGACGTAGCCCTGCACGCATGGAAAACTGGCCACTCTATTCAATTTTATGACACACCTCTCTTAGCCAGAGAAGACCGCTGGGATACGAAGAGGCTAAAAGATACGGTGGAAATTATCACTCTCACAACCTTAATGCTGACCATGGCATACGTCTACACGATGCCTGGAAGCATCTATTTTACCAGGACGCCTGATCTCGACCGGACGCGATCCTAGCTGCTCCGCGACATCCGATTACGGACGGAGCATTTTGTCTCACCCCGCGGGGAGCCCGCCCCTGATTGGCCGCTGCACTCTGTCCGCATTGGCCGACCACCCGGCACGCGGGTAGAGGGGAAACTTAGCCCTATTTTAACACGTACACAGTACATCCCCGCGCATTACACCCCTGAGGAAGGTCGCAGAATGGCGACCGAAACGTCGGCATCTTTGCCATGGACGCGGCGTCACGCGGTCAGCTAATTAAAGATTGAGCCTTAATTATGCATTGACAGTGGAAGTAGCAGACCTGTTACACACTTATCTGCTATAATGTTGCTAATAACAAAGAATGAATATTACAAATAATATCAAAAAGGTTGAAGCTGGGTAAAAGAGTCAAAAATGCTGTGTACTTGAATCAGAATTTGGGAAATAGTGACATTTTGAACAATGGTTTTACTTAAAATGCTTCATATTCAAATAGTTCAATTGGTCAGATTTCTGCTAATTATAATGTTTATGTATGTCTTTTTTCTGAAGAGTTACTGACTGGTTATCACAATAAACATTGGGATTCACACTTTACTGCATTGTTAAAGTAGTTTTTAAAATTGTGAAGTGCAAGCAACAGTCAAAATCTCAGGCTCATTTCTTTTAGAAGTAAAACTTACCTTTAAAAATAATTCAATTAGCTGTTTCACAATGAGTGCTTCTTCTTTATTAATACAATCAGTCACTTTTTCCTGCGTTTTTGGAACGTTTAGAAACACAACAGAATCTTCAAGTTTGCAAGAGAGAGCTTTTGTCATCCAAGGTGGGCAACAATCTTGAATCTGAAAACAATTACAATAATTCTTTAGAAACAAATATAGTGATTGGGCACCTCAATAAATGGTGCAGAGTATGGGATAAGTAACACTATTACCAACTCTTTACAGGCCGACTTACCAAGGGAATAATTGTGATTTTGATTATACTAAGATAAGAAATCTTATTATCCTAATACAATTTTTGGTCAACCAATATTCATTACTAATAATAATCCACAAAATGTTATTCTACCTTAAAACTTCTCCAGGCACATTTATTTTTTTGTTCTATTAGTTTAAAATTAAAAACAAACCACTGAAGAAACAAATTACTTACTTTTTCATTAGCAAGTTGTAGAGTGGCCTCAGCAACTGCAGGAGAGGCACATTTCAACTTCCCACCATACGTTAGATCATTAGCAAGATCAGTAATTTTGCAATTCATTCGATACTGGAAATCCAATGAGGCAGTCGATTCAGGTCTAGCCAAGTGTGAGAATAAACACTTTGACAGGCCCCTCTCACTATAAATAAATTCACAATGAAAAGAATTTGCCAATGTAATTAAAAATGATGTTTTTGGAGGAAATTCAATGTCATGCAGGCTCTATAACATACAGTACAGAATTCAGGAATTCAGAAGACTAAAGAATATACACAGCTCAAACTAGTATCAATTTGCACGATTTTACATTCATGCATTGCTAGTAAAGACAAAGAATTGTAATGTTGCAGCAAAAATCAGTGATTTTCTGACAAAAATTCAAAATGTGAAAATGATATCGAAAAAATGGAAAATGATTGTTCCTACGAATTACTTAATTACTTTTTCCCCAACTTTGTGTAATCAGACTACATTTTTTGTGGGTTCTTGATACAGAAAAATTAGTTGATGGCAAAACATCCGATTGTGGTCAATGTTAGCACCTAAATCATTCAGCCGATTTTCTCCAAAATTTATATTTTTCGATTCATCTGCCTAACCTCAAGGCCATGTGATTTTGAAACTGATATTTTGATTTTTTGGGTTCTTTACACGAAGCCTTCAAAACGTTTTCCAAAATGGCTCCAATTTTTTTATTAAACTTTTTCTTTAGAGCGCAAAGGATGTAGGTCCTATTGTCGTTGATATTTCTGAATTTTTGAAAATTATAGTTAAATTTTTTTTTTGGTGACTGCCTACTACTAAAATATTGAAGAAAAAATGTTTCCCTTCATGGAATCTGTTGTCCAAAGACATATCTTTACATTAGGTAATATAATTTTTTTTGAAAATATAAGTAGATTTGCTTTTTAAATAATAATTTTCTCAAAAATGGATTCAACAATTTTCTTTAATTTCCGATTGTCAGATGAAGACGTACATTCTTAACAAAATGACATAACTTGAGTTTTCGGTGAACTCAATGTAATTTTGAAAATTGCAAAAAATTAACATCGCATAAGTAAAATATTCATGAAAGATTTTTTCTTTACGGAATCTGTTTTAGAAGACAGAGTCTAGAAGACGAAGGGATGTCTCACAACGACCTTTTTCGTTCCTTTCCATGTCCTGACACTCCCACGTTCCGCCCTATACCATTATCCAATACTGCTCCCCCCCCCCCCACACACACACAGTGACTCTTGTCGCCAAGCGGTACCGGTTTCTAGTTTGACAGTGCTAACAGTGCTGACAGTGCTTTATGTCAGGCTTCTTTTATCTATTCCACTAGACCTCTTGATCCCTTGTATTTTCGTATCCGAAGTTATTAGGTTTTGAGGGCTAGGGTATCATTCGTCCTCTTTTCTTTGCTGTGCTAGTACATTTCTTCTTTTCTTACTTCTCTACTCTTCAATTTTCTATAATGTCTCTTCATTTCTCCCAAATGTGGGTAGATGAGACTCGATAGTCCTAGAAGATACCCCATCTAAGAGAAGGAAAACTGAAGTAAAACCCTGGTCCTCCATGGAGGGGGTTGAAGCTATTGGCCAGCTCCCTATTGTCTTGGAAAAAATTCAAAATGCTAAAATGCCTAACAAGGATAAACTGGTTGAACATTGGAAACGAACTTGGCAAAAGAAATAGACTTTGAACATAGGGACGTGGAATACACATGAGTTTGGGAAAAAGGCCCAGGAGGTAATACACGAATTACAAGAGATGGACATCACAGTCATGAGCCTCAGGGACAGGAAATAGGCTTATACATACACATTTGCAGTGGTGTCCCAGAATACCAAAGGGGAAGTAGTTAGTAATATATATTAAGAAAAAAATATCAAAAGGACCTACGAAATTGGGAAGTGATTGACAAGAGAAGTATTAAAATAAATCTTGAAAACTATAGATTTAAACTGACAATTCTTCAAATCTGTGCATCAAACAAAAACGAAAAAACTATTATCCTGGAAGAATTTTATTCAAAACTAGACAAGGTGATCAGTGAGTGTGGAGATAAAAGAGATGTGGTTCTTCTTGGAGATTTTTAATAGCATGATGGGAAAAGCATGTGGTTCAAGAGTAATTGGGCAATTTGGCGAGGGTGCCTGCAACTCAAATGGGAAAAGATTGGTATTCCTGTCTGAACAACATAACATAATGATCAGAAACGCTTCTTCAAACAAAGAGATGAGCATAAGTATATTTGGATGGACCAAATAAAATAGAAGATTAGTGATAAGATAATGTGATTACTGTGCAGAACTTCCAAGGAAGAGTGTTGAATGTTTGGGCACAATGAGAATCAGAATGTGATTCTAATCACTTCCTTGTGAAATAAATAATAACATTCCTTCCTAGGAAGCACCGTACAGAGAATCCTTAGGATTTAGGAAATAAAGAAAATGAACAAGAAACAAAGTACAACTTGGAAGGACCGGCACATAGAAGTACCTGCTATCTTTATCAAAATAGGTTAGTTTACTGATTAAATGAAAGTACAGAACCAACAAACATTGACCTGAATGAACATAAAAAAAAATGCTTACACCAGGCTGTGAAAGAAACCTTAAGGGAAGTGGCCATGAGAAAAAACAAAAAGACTAAACACTGGATTAATGAAGAATTGATATATGAGATTAAAGTGTAGAGACATTTATTTGAAAAGTGTTTAAGTACCTAAAAAGCCAATGACAAATACAATTACATTATCCAGGAAGAAGAGTGAGAAATCTGATCAGGAAGGAAAAACAACTGTCTTGGAAATGCAAATGCAAGGAAAGAGAAATGTATTAAGGTGGAGAAAGAGAGAGAGAGAAAGAGAGAGAGAGAGAAAGAGAGAGAGAGAAAGAGAGAGAGAGAAAGAGAGAGAAAGAAAGAGAGAGAGAGAGAGAAAGAGAGAGAGAGAGAAAGAGAGAGAGAGAGAAAGAGAGAGAGAGAAAGAGAGAGAGAGAGAAATTGAAAGGAAACAACTGTTATGGTTTTGACACGTCCAGAGGATTCAGGACAATAGACTTCCAAAGAAGCTTTTGGATTGGCAACCTCAAGAAAGAAGGAAAAGAGGCCGACCGTGACCTCGTTGGAGAGACAATGTAGAAGACAATGGCTGGGTGGCAGATGCTTCGTGGGACTTAGAATAATAAAGAAGAGTGGAAGAAGTTAGACGCCGTAAGACCCACCTAAAGGTCAACCAAACGGCTAAGAAGAAAAAAGAGAAGAAAAAGGAGAAGAAATCTATTTTAAAAAAGTATCTTTAAATAAGATCTTGTACAATTTTTTTAAAAAATGAGTAGTTTTCGCGTAATTTTTGCTTGAAGTAAAGGCAATTAATATTTTTTTTAAATCTTACAAACGGCTCCAAATTTATTCTTTCTCCCCTCAATAGAGCATAGCATCTTTATTAAAATGGGGCAGGTCTCATTTTCGGCAAACTCTCTGTAGTTTCGTAAATTGAAAATAAAAAAAAATTAACTTTGAAAAACTATAATATTGGTAACAACACACACGAGTGCGTTTTCTTAGTCTACTACCTGGTGAGAGCACACCAACTCGCTGTTCTCTTTGCATATGTATAGATTTATACGCAATTTTGTCCGGTTTTCCCGACTTTGCGCGTAAGAGTGGATATATATAACTCCCGAGTGTTTTTGTGCTTCGTGTAATGTCCATTTTTTTCATTTATGTTGATTGCTCTTCCAAAATAAGTAATTTATTCCGTCATTCCCACCTCGCTCAATGCTTACCATTTTTCTTTATTTGTTATGCGATTACATTGTTACATAATATTGGTTACATTTTTTGATTAAGTTACACTTTGATTATGTACTTAGCTTGATTTACTGGGTTTTTAAGATTTTTATAGCGAATAATGATACTTTACAATGATTATACAAATGGATTTTATGAGTGGGTATGTGCTAGGGCTTTATTTGCAATCAGTGTGGATTTATATATACATGGTTTTTATTCTGAGTAACTATGATAAAGTACATTTCATAATGCAACATAATAAAGCAATGTGAATTTAAATTTAGTAACAAACTGTGAACCAATTTAACATAGTGAAGCGGTATAATATTTTCAAAGGCAATGTGGATTTATATATTTGAATAATTACACATTAATGGTTATTTACAGCGACTGATAAATATACAATGACTGTTGAAAACGGTTGAAATGCAATGGTTTTTAAAGTTCGTGTAAGTAAATAGTGTGTGTTTGATTTTTAAGTACGTGTGAAGTTATTTGAAGTAATAATATAAAATGTATATTTGGTATCACCAGCTCAAATAATATTGATGAAAGATTTTTTTCCTTTATGAAATAATTTCTATAAAGCGATACCTTGAAATACTGTTAACGAAAATCACTGAATTTTTTAAAACTGCAAAAGCAAATGTTCAACTCTTTTTATAAGTGCCCGAAAAGTAGATTTTAACTGTGAGGCTGGTGGTCAAGGGCAAGGTGACTGTTGTGCTACCTCTAATAACACAATGAAAGTGTAGACATGAAGTCACTAACAAAATAAATGTAGCAAAATCGCCTAGGGCGCATAGGCGCACGTTTTGTTGAGCTCTCCTTTTGCTTGTAGTGGTAGGAGTATAGGTAAGGGCAAGTTACTATTTTGTTAGCAACGCAGACAAATCAAACCTACAGTTCGTTTACCGTTGCAAATAAGTTTTCTATAACTCGGGAACGAAAATGTCTAGTTTTTCAAACGTCGCTAATCTCGCGTTTTTTTATATTTTATTTTTATTTATTTATCTTTAACTTTTACGCATCTTCCAACAATTCGTGATTAACATGATGGAAAAGTTTTCTCAAGAAATCGTGCGCAATTATTTTCTCCCCCATACGTCACACAGTGTTTACTGTTTTGACTAAATAAATCTAAATCTAAAATTGGTAAATGTTTTGTAATGCTTCGACATAAAGACTTTGGTACAAAGCCCACGAAAAACTCGAGCAAAAGCTTGGTATGCGTTAAAGACCACGTCCCACCTCTTCTGTCATCAAGGGCATAAGCTCCCATGCTGCTGCAGCCTGGAACATTTCACGGCGACACGGAGTCGCGTCAATCTGGTCGCCCCGCTGCTCCTTGAC